CACCTATGCATATAAGGTTATTTCAGACATTGAAACAAATGGGTGTAGATTACTGACAAAGCCTGCAGTTGTGATGCCACCCTTCTCTGCCTCCTCATGTTCATTTTACCACATACAACCACAAAAGGCCTATTGGCTCTTCTAAAGAATAATCACATGCAGTCTGCAACACGGTATGCGTCTACCCTCCCTGGACAGCACTTCTCATGTACTGCTACACAGGACCTGTCACTATGAAATGATGAGTAGGGGACAGGCCATGCAGAAGGTCCCCTAGATTCATTTCTTGGCATCTCCAGCTGAAAGGATTGGGTAAAAGTGATGTAAAAAGAGAACACTTCTAATATGAAATAAGTAAAATGAATAGAAATAAAGACATGAGACCTTGAAGAGCTCCTATCAGAATAGATAATGCTGTCCTAAATAAACAAATAGTCTGACCTGGTAAAGAAGCAGAGGCCCATATTCCTAGAGAGACACGCAATCGGTTCTTCTCAACCAGCAGCTTCCTTTGCCACATGATTTAAGGGCTTTGCAGGCATTCATCTTTTCACAAAATAAGGTCCAAAGTCACACTGGGTGCACAAATGCTTTGGAGCGAGACTAAGATCTCTACACTGTGGCTTGTGTGGCCCCATAAAGTTGCAAGTTGAGCCCTGCTAAGGGCATGACTGATTGCTTTCAAGTTTAAGAAAACAAACCTAGAGTACAAATGCAACTGAATGAGCAAGACTGTTTTCAGTAGCTGGAACCTGATACCCACTAGGTTCCTTTAAGCAACATCTACACTTATTTGAATGACATTTTAAATTATGTAGCTTCATAGCAGCCATCTCAACTTAGAAATCTGAAAGAGATAAACATCAAGAAAATATACCATTTTCAAAGTAAAACCGGTGGAAGTCCATCCCTTCTACAAGATTTCCCAAAGCTTCAGGTTCAAATGAGGTAAGACCTGGATCACAGATCTTCCTGTAGAGGGAAAAAAATCTCATTGCAACAGCTATGCAGACTAGATGAAAGAGTCATCAGATGGCGTTCCGGGCTGTCCGTAGAATCCTCGCACTACATTAAGATGAGAAGCTGAGCTCTGTGTCCTGATTCTGCTGGTCTCAATGACTCCATGGTAAATACATTTGTATCTTTGCGCATGGGTGGATTCAGGTACCGCCAAATGATAGCTTACATGGCTTCTGGTGAGTCTGCAACCCAAGCAGATGACCCCGTTTCCATAACTGTGACTGGAAAAGGGCAGCTGCAACTGTACAAAGTGGTCGTGCCTCCTCACATTGTGATCTAGCTGGGTTAAGGGCATGACAGCAAATTCATGTGCTCCTAGAAAGAAGCATGTGGGGACTGCTGTAGCTTAAAGGCACTGAAGTTACTAGGGGTTTTTGGACTCATTTGGAAAAAAAATTTTTTTTGTAGATTGATAATATACTAGAATTCAGACTGCAAAGAACAGAATGCTCTAAAAATATTAGGGTCACTTTTGCTGGGATTACCTATGATATTAATGCTGTCTTAATTTGTTCAAATAAGCAGTCATACCCAGCTAATTTAACAGTAATTTATTTCTTATAATATGCTGAATGTCAGCTCTATACTTGGTTGTTCTGTGGAATCACTGTTCTGAACATTTGGCTTTACATGAAATATAAAATTCTGCATCATTATAATTTTATAGTTTCAATGATTGAGAAAACATGATGAACATGGAAACAAGTAGCTAAAATGCTGATGAATGTATATAACAGCAGTACCTACTACACAGAATATTGGATTAAATATAGAGGGGAAATAGATTGCATATAACAATTCATTTATATATAGCCTAGTTTTTATACAGTAACAAAAACTCAGCAGGGATCCCTTGAAGTTCAAGCCCTAACTAGAAATACTGAAGCTAGGCTAGACCTCAAGGGCCTAACAACCCTCTCCACGAATAATAATAAACTGATAAGATGCTATGGTTCTACTGCATTGTTTTTTTAATGTAAAAAACTATTGTAAATTGTACAATTGTAAATGGTCCAAAGAGCTTCAGCTATTGGGTGGTATAGAAATGAAATAAATCATTGCCATAATCATAACTGCCATTCAGATATTTCCAGAGACTGGAAAGTGATAATGCCATGGCACACAAGCCTAGCTTAGCACTTGGGACAGCACATGCATGCAGCCACATCCGCTTCTTTTTAAACATTTTATAATTCAGGGGGGGATGGACTGGCATGTATATGGTAACAGATTCTTTTAACTGTTTTTACTTTAAAAACATATTATGCCTTCTGAGAACAAAATTGTGCTTATTCCTGCTTTGGAAATGCCAAACACAAACATGCTAAGCATGAGGTCAGTAGCAGCAAACTCACTTTTATACCTGCAATCATGATAATGCAATTATTTAAATGAGTTTAAAATATAAACGTTGCATAAGTCACAGGATTCTGTAAAAAAAAAAAGGATTGGCAAACAGTTTTGTCTTTGCACTAATGTATGAGGGATGTGGAAGCAAATGTAAAGTGCATAATGCTGAGGGAGTGGAGGAAAGAAAAGGAAAAAATGCTGTGAGCTTCACAACTGAAGTCATATTTGTCTCATCTCCATAAGATTATGATTACTGGCAACTTGGAAGAAACAGATGCTAGTCCTCACTGATCCATGATGCTACCTGGGTGACTTTGCACCAGTCACAGACTCAGCCCAACCAACCACACAGTCTTGTTGTTGTGATCATAAATTAGAACTATGTAAGCCTCTCTGGGTTTCTCACAAGAAGAAATAATAATGCAATAATAAAGTCTGTGGTCTAAAAGTACCTGCTAAACAAATCCACAGCTAAACAGCCCTGACCTTGCCCAGAGGCCATTAAACATCAATAATCATGCAGTTCCCTTGACTATTTAAAGAGAACTTAATCCCCAGTACTAATTGTTGGTATTGAGGAGAGTGGGACACATATGCCATGGAAATGTCAGGCAGTGGATAGGTTTTGGACACAAAATGTATGGAAGTATTTGCACTCAGCCAAAGTGTTGCTGTTTTATTGTGGTACTTTCTATGCATTCCTCCCCAACCTGATGCCTTCCAGATGTGTTGGCCTGGAGCTCTGTCGTGTGTTAGAGGGTATGAAGTTGAGGAAAGCTCTTCTAGCTGGACTGACAGATGCTTTCCAAGGCCTCAGGCAGAGGCCTTTCCCAGTCCCTCTGCCTGGGACTTCTGCTTGCACTCTTTCACAGAGCAAGAAGGATTATTTAATTAATTGAACTGCTCCTCACAGCTGCAGAAAGCAGTGGCAACCAGTTGGATATAATCTTTAATGCTTACACTCAAGTGTAACTTGTTCTGTATGTGTGTGTGCATGCGTGCGTAAGTGCATATGGCAGGGGGAGGGGGGAGAATGCAACTTACGTGTAGGCTTCAAAATCTCCATTATTGATGGCTTCAATCAGTTGTTCAGTCACTTTGATAATCTCCTGCTTACGAGCTGAAGACAAAGACATGGATAAAATGACACATAAGATGAAAACTGCAACGGAAACTAGCAGAACGAAAATGCTGTCAGAGTAATAAAACATTGAAGCCTTTTGAATTTTCTCCCTGATCAATATAATTGGCATTTAGCCTGAGATGCCTCTTCTCTTCCATCCCCTTTTCCACCATTACAACAACCTGAAAACAGTTGTGAGCTTTGTAACTGATTGGACTAGGCACATTTCTGTGTTTGCAGAGATATAAAGCATATGCCAGAGATCAGTGATGCTTCCATTTTCTATTTGTAGAGGTCCTCTTTAATCTCTCAACCTTTCAGAGAGAATTGTAAAGGAAATAAGTTAGCCACATGGATCCAACAAAATATGCCACTTGAACCTGATTATCCCATGAATGCCATCTAGTTTCATCCTTCAGGATGTCTGCATAGATTTTCTGTATCTTCAAAGATGGGGTGGGAGCATTTCCAGAAACCTGGCAATGTGGAAATATCTATAAACAACTGATATGCCCACAAAATGGTGGGTCTGCTGTGGAAAAGTAGTAATCAAAGATATACAAGTACATCAGCATTTGTCAGCCTCAACTCCAAAGAAGTAGTGTGTTCATTGTGGTCAAAAGACCATTAATGTAAAAAACAAAATAGATCCACAATAAAACTAATTATAAAAGGTGACAAATTAAGAATTAAGTCCGAAAAGGTCTGACACAGTCCCTTCCCAGCTGATACTGTCCAACCTTTGTTCTTTTTGGCCCCAGGTTTCCTACCAATGTCTCCTGAGTCCCTGTGACCAAGCACTGTCACCCGTTTGTGTTTCTAAGGCAGCTGTTCTGCTGTTTGTGCAAATCTTCTGCCTACACGTCACACATCCCCTTCACTTGTTAAGAACGGCAGTCTTTGCCCTTTATTTATTGCAAGTATTGCTAGTAATACAAATAGGTCAGAAGTGAGTATAGAGGTAGGGGTAATGCTTGCCATTATCACAAAGGTAATGCCAGCTTCCAAAAGCATTGCTATTTTCCATCGCTATTTCCAGTGCAATATATTTCAGAGTGACCTCCCCTCCCAAGCACAAAGATGCATGTTCCTTAAAACAGACTGCTTCTTTCTCTCAAATTTCATAGCTTCCTTTCCCACTCTGTAAGCCAGTTTAAGATGAAGGCAGGTGGATGTATAAGTTGTGCTGGAACCAGGAGAGGAAGGTGGAATCAACACTGTGATCACAGTCTCCAACACTACCAACTGGAGTTTTAGCAAAAATAAAACTTAACTGAGCAAAACCTGCCTGCTTTCCTTTCATTCATTTATTCCATTAGAATATGAGAAATGTAGGAGCCAATCAATATATTTGATACTAATGTTAATGAAACTGTGTTCATAGGCTAAAACCCCCAAATAGCTTATTGTCAGAAGCATGAAGGCTACATTTGCTATTGCTGACTGGAAACAACCTGCACAAAAGGCATATTTTATGCAGAACTGTGATAGCTGAAGCACTAGTGATAAACTCGTAGGCTTTGATGCAGGCGCTGGATGCTTGGCAGTTATATTTTATAACTGAGGAAACTTGATGAGAGGGATAGTCTGAAGCATATTTGGAATAACAGGATTTCTTAGGAAATGTGGTCAGCAGAGATGAAATTTGCAAATAAGGGAACCTGGTATACTTCAGGTTTAAGTCTGTGAGCTGGAGGGAGGTTTTCAGGACAAAATATATAAAAGAAATTATCAAAGCTGGAACTTTGCTACTGTCTGTGACTGTGATTTTATGGTGACGCTCAGAAATAAGATACATCCTTTAGAAACGCAGCTAAGTAATCTGTGGAAAAGCAACAGTTGAGCATTTGAGAGAAGGAAAGTGTTCACTTCCATAATTTGTCTCTTGAGATTTTAAAAAGCATGCATGGAATGACAGAAACATCCATTCAGTCCAGGTACTCAAACAGGAAACTAAGACAAACAGAACAAATAATCTAGCAGGAATAAGCATCCCCTTCTTATCAGATGAAAAATAAATCTACACCAAAGTATGATAATTGCATACATAATATGCCTCAGAGTAGCTGCACTTTGTTGTTTAGATTTAGGCATGCTAGCTAGCAAACTACTAGACGAACGGGATCTCTGAATCTTGGGTCCTCTTTGGTCCTCACTTATAAAATGTGAACCATTACAACTGGCTCTCCCAATTTTATATAAATTAAGAAAACATGTTAATTTGTTTTGCATATTCAAAACACTCTCAGTATTCTACACAGTTATATCTTCTCATTACATGGTCTATGTTTGTCATTAGAATTTCAGTATTATACATTATGATATGTGCACAGTGAACCAGCACAATACGAGATTTGTTGATATCATCCCCGCATCCCCACTATCAGTGCATTAAATGGTATGTGGTTATTTTCACAGTCTGGCTGTTCTGCATTCAGTTTGTAGGACTCTACTTCACAGAAAGTCAAAGGTTAGGAAGTGGTCACTTTTCAAAAGCAACACTGTGAAATGTGCCTCCCAGCTTAATTCTGTTTGGCAATAATTGGACTGGTATCAAATTTCTGTGGCTTTAACTGCATGAACATTTGATAAAAATGTACCCGCTAGAACAGACAGTGCATCACACAGGAACCTATGTAGTCCAACAAACCCAGTAAATGAGATTAAGGAATTCTTACTGCTGTACACAGCTGTAGCTGTATGTTTGTATTAAGACTAACCTTACTCCTTCCAGCTCTCATCAATTCCATCGGAAGAAATTTCAATGCACAATGGGGACTTGGCAAGAGAAGGGGTGACTAAACAACCAGCTCTTTAAGTTGTTTATCAAGTGCTTGCATTACAAATATGAACTAAAACTTTGAGCATGTCCATTAAATTATACAGCCCTGCCCCACCCTCACCTTCCAAACAGGTGCAGGCCACCAAGAAGCTGGACTTTTTTCCTACTCAACAAATGTATGGAAATCTTATGGTTCTAACAGAAATACTTCTGTAACGTAGTACTCAGTATGTGGGGACTTTTACTCCCACTCTCCTGTCTGAAAAGTCACTGGAAAGCTGACTTATAAGCAGTATAAAACCATGAAAAATTGGGACAAAATACAACAGAAATGGGTCATCATGCATTCCAAGTTTGTCCCTTTCCTGAGGAAAATCTGAGGTCTGAAATGGAACAGACCTTCTAATTGTAATCAAAGTGTTACATTCTTGTTTTGGAACCCATTGCTTTTGCTAACCACCGGCTGCCTAGAGAGGTGGTGGGCTCTCCCACACTAGAGACATTCAAAAAGAGATTGGACAGCCATCTGAGTGGGATGGTGTAAACTGGTGTCCTGCAACAGCAGAGGCTGGACTCGATGGTCTTCATGGCCCCTTCCAACTCTACTATTCTATGATTCTATTACCTGTAATGTCACTGACCTGCTTGTCTTATAGCAGTCCATTGTTCGGCTACATGCTGTGAATCTTACCTGGTTCACCCCTCTCTCTACAATTATACATGAAAAATTCATTGAATCACCAACCTATTCCATTTCTTTGTGACTAAAGGTTTCACCGTGAGTGCTAGTTGCACGTGCTTCAGTCTCATTGACTTCAGTGGGAATTCCTCATTCTTAACTAGATGCAGCACTGCAGTCTCATTCTTCTATTGTAAGCAAGCAACATGTACCTTCTTCTATTTTAAGACAAAGGACAGCCTCCCCCAACATTCTGCTGACCTCATTTGTTGGACTACAACTCCCAGCATCCTTGGACATGTTGGATGGGGTTGCTGAGAACTTCAGTTCAAATCAGGATGGCGCCAGGTTGGAGAAACTAATGTACGACTATGCTTGCATTCTCATCATTCCACACCATGTGCAATATTCAGTGTCAGGCCTCAGGAAAGGGATGGCCATCATAAGATCTTTGCTTTTATGTGCAGAAACAACTTCTATAGCCATGTGAGGCCAGTATGTACATAGGCACTAAGGCAGGCTTCTCAAACCTAGTGCTCTCCAAATATTTTAGACTTCAACTCCTATTGGCTCAATTAGGAATGAACAGGAATCCTGGGAGTTGTGATCCAAGCGATCTGGCACATCAGGTTGGGGAAAGCTATATTAGGCAATAGTCTGGCTGAAGCATGTGGAAGTCACATATTTACATGAATCAGTCCTAAAGCTGTTGATTATACCTTTAGTAGGAGGATTTAGATACTATTGCTTTGCTCATAGAAAAAGTGTCTATAAACAGAAGCAGAGTTCTGCTTATGGAAGGAATACTTCTGTGCACCCAGCTCTCCTTTCACAAATGGAAGGAGTTGCTGTTCATGGATCCAGGCCAAAGTTAGTTCCTAGCATCTCTGTGAAAAGGAAGTACACTATGCAAATTCAACTGCTTCCTGTCTCCAAGATACTGATTCTCGTAACTTTGACTCCACTCTCACAATTAAGCCTCAGATGATGATTAAAATCTTTTCAAGGCAAAGAACAGACTGTACATGCCCAGGTGCTCTGTGCACATCACTCTGTGAGTCACACACCTGCAATAAAGTCAGTCCTCATATGAACCAGGGTGGGAATCCTTTCTGAAAATCAGGCAAGTTCTGCCCATATATATGATAGTAAATCATTGGTCTAAGAGGGAATAAGGGTGAAGGACAGTGTTGCCCACCAGTATACGAGGACCAAATAACAATTGTTCTGTTCACAGAGCTGAATAGCTGGAACACACTGGGCTTAATCTAAAACTTAAACTAAAACCAAAGACTCAAAGGGATAACTCCATTTCAGTGTATATCTTCATGATACCAGGAATATTTGTGCATTAACTGAAGTTCTCTGAAGTGACAGAGAAGGGCTAGGCCAAAGAAAGATACTACATTTTAACTAATCCCCCTGAAAAGGTTCTCCATGCATTCAAAGGTTGAGGAATATAAAGGAGACTTCAGGTCAGCTTTACGCTTCAGTCATTCATTGCTCCAGATCCCTTTGTACCCATACATAGTCTCT